CCCCTCCCACAATCTGATCTTTGGGCAGAGGTGTTTATTTTCCTGCCTGGTTTTGGGGGAATAACCACATCACAACCAGCTGTAAAAAGAATGAATGGTCACTGCTGTAAAATTGTCACACTGAACTTCTACTATACAAACACAAAATAGCTGATTTGTTCCCTGATGAGTCTCTGAGAGTCCTGTTTACCACATCCATTGAAATGTACACACTCATAGATGTACAGGATTAAGTAGTCATCACATCTCACAGCTTTGCTCTCAGTTTTTTTCTGCAGCAGACTTATTTTAAATTGCATGTCTCATACAATTATCACAGTAAAACATTATGATACAGGGTGATTTTGCATGTGGAATAGGGGTACAAGTGAATCATTAGCTAAGGTTCACATTTATATATAGAAAAAAACACATGGCCCAAACCACTGGTTATGTATGAAGGCATATTAAATACTCACCTGAAGTGTTCAGTGTGTGTAAAAGTGGAATTAAATACAGATCTTGGGTTTTCATGATCTAACACAGGTGTCAGAGCACTCTTCAAAAGAGACCATTCAAAAAAGATTTTAAAGACTTAGAACATGAAGTATGTATCACTGGGGAAGACAGATGATAAGTCCTAAGCCAAGGGGCAGTTCTAGAAGTACAAATGTCTTCCTAATAAACTGAAAGACCTTGGTGCAAGAGTGAAAAGATAAGGGAAGATCAGTATTCAGTTGTTTCTCCAGAGAACAAGAATTATATGTATGTATGTTATTTACTCATTCTCATGAAGAAAGTAACTACAGCTCTTCAGGGATAAAATTCATAGTGGGAGGACAACAACCTTCTCAGAATCTCAAATGCCCAAAGTTCAGGGCTGTGTCATACCTGAAGCCAAGAATGAAGAGAGGAATTGGGCCTAAAAGTTTATCTTCCAAAAATAGAAAAAGACAAAGAAGAAAGAATTCACAGAAATGTATATATATAAAAATAATGCATTTTAAATTAAGATGAAACTTCTTAATTAATAAAGAATGCATTAATTTAGAACAATTCAAGCTGCTAAAAAGGAGAAAGTAAATGATAAGTCATACATCATGAGAAGTTTGAATCATGTTTTGATTATAGGCCTTCAGGGAGAGAAAAAACCCTGCTGTCCTACATTTGAAGCTTATTTGTCAGGTTGGAATTTTCACCTCTCTCATTTTTCTGTACTGTATTCAAAAAGATGTCTTTGGAGTAAGTCACTTTTGGAGAGACTTTGGAGAAAGTCTTGGACGTAGCATGGCTAAATGAAAATACTGGTGATCGGCAGCTAAAAAAAGAAATAGAAATCTTATAGTAGCAGAATAGCCCTTGCTAAATATTCTTTTGTGGTTTAACACAGAACAGACTGTCCGCAAGCATTTCTGTTGTCATTAGTGGTAACAGGACCCAGGGCTCATTCATCTCATCTCCAACCAACAACTTTTCTCATGAAATAAAACAGTATCCATGGGCTACTGCCATCTTTTCTATATTAAAAGCTCTATGGAAAGCCATAAAATGAGGTGCTAGGTTTATAGCTAAATTCAAAACCACTTGCCAGGAAGACTTTCATTGTTATTGGGTTTGCAGTGGTTCAAGAGAAGAGTTTTAATGCAGAAAGGAAGGGAAAGAAAATGCAGTACAGCACCTCCACGTATCCTTTAGTATCTAAAGAGGAATAATGTATTTTTCAGGAGCAGTTAACATGGCAGCTGTATATTTTTCAAGTTTTGATTTTATTCTCAAAACATTTCTAGCTAGTTATTTCCCACGTTAAGCAGATAAAGCAAATTGAATTACAGGATGAATAAAGCAGAGAGAACCTTCAGGCCTGGTGCTGTGAAAATCTGACATGGAGCTTGAAAAGTTTTCAAATCTACACACTTTACCATTTTTCCATACTCAAATGTGAGGTAACTTGAGAAACTTTAATGTATACAATTAAAAAAGAAGCAATGATTTCTGGTTGTTCCTCAGATTACAGAGTTTTGCCTGCTAAACTTCCCAAGGGCTCTTGGACCTGCCAAGATGGTACGATGAGTCTTGTCTCTTCCTTCAGAATGAAGAAGTTGTAAGAACTGCAATAAAGAGTTGGAAAACAATGCTGAAAAGCAGCAGAGGTTGGCAACTCCTGCCTTGTATGCAACTTGAGACCGCCTTTCTATCTTTCTGAAACTTGCATAACTAGGATGAGTCATTTGCAGAATTTCATGTCAGTGGCCTTCCAAGAGAGTTATCCAGTAAATAAGACATGTATCCATCCAGAAAAGCCCTGGAGTCTGTTTATAAGACAACAGAATATCTAAATGAAGTAGACAAAAAATGAAAATTAGAAGTAGAAAGTCAGTTTCTTTGCCTTAGTTATGTGCATTTTCATACACCTTTCTTTAAAGTATGTTCATGCATGTCTTCATAGAAATATATCTGACACTTCAGTATGAAGAATGGCCAGCGGAAATCCTTTCACTGGTGTCCAGGTTTGAACCCTCAGGTTTAAGAGAGTGCATAAAAAGAAAAGAAATTTCTTTATACTGCTCAGTTTTTGTCAGTTTGGATGAGGTTTTATTGGGAGCATTACAAGGGAGATCTGTCAGAAATCTGGGGGAAAAAAAACCACAAACCCTATCATAGAGTCTTTATAGCTGTCTTAGGAGTGCTGTGGCTATCTGCCCAAAAAGAACTGAATAGAAAACAAGCAAATATAATCTAATATGCATCACAAGCATATGATGGTGGCAACTGGTCTCATTAGGATTTGAATGATCAATCTAATTGTGAGAGAGTCTACAGTTCATTCCTAATCTTACTGTCATCCTTATGTATATAAAGTGAGGGGATGCTCTACCTTCTTCTTCCGCAACTCCAGAAGTGCATTAGACATCAGAGGATTCTTGCAAATCCTCCAGCTCCCCAAGGATGCTACAGACATCCCCATCTTCTTCCATCAACTCTTCTTTAGCTGGCTTCCTGAGAAATGTAGTACAAGTGTATGAATTTGGATGGGCCACAACACACAGCACAACAAAATGTGCTCAACTCAAGGTCCATCCAACAGCAGATTTCATTTGACCTGCATATAAGTTCATCACTCTCCAGTGGACACCTTGGAACTCTTTTTGAATCTGTTGGGCCATTTTCTTTTTTCATTATCATTCCACAGATGTGAAATGGATGTAAAAATCAAAGTCACTAAATAAACAAAATGAAAGAAAAAAAATCACAGAGGCCTCTTGGCAGGAGAGAAATAATACATCCTACTGAAGGTATTTCTACAACTAAGAGCAGAAAGGAAGCTAGGAAGATGGATGTTAGCAAAGAAATATTATTCATGTTCATTTCGTTTTAAATAGCATCAAAGACTAGTAATTTATCTGTGAATTAAGTGAATAAAGATATGCAGAACTAAAAGCTACCTCTCAGACTAGAAAAAGAACTGAAAGGATGTAATTTGCTTCTTTGTGCTTGTAGTTGTTTACACTCACCACAACCAGAAAGATATCCTGACAGAAATGCCAACAGACAACACTCTTCCTATAGCCACCAGGAAGAAAAGAATGCATATTTAGAGGTCATCTTTTCATAGAGATACCTGGGCACCTGTTCGTCACCTTTCTACAGGGACAATTTGAATTTTCTCTGATAACAAGTGCTCCTGACTCAACAGAGCCAAGACACCCAACCTCAAAGCTGAAGATCCATATTTAATTACTTGCCACAGAACCTTGGGAATTGACCCAAACACTGAAATCTCTCTAATGGCAATTTTTACCCTCTTGATTTTTTGCTCTGTGGATGTGCTGAAGAGACCCAACTGGCCTAGTTTCAGCTTAACTCCCTCACTTTTTCTAAAGGCACGGCTGCACCTCTTTCTCCAAAAAACCAAAAAAAGTATCAATTTGGAGATGAGGAAGGGCACAAAGTACTGTTTTCCTTGGATGAAGACAAAAATCAAAATCTACTGAGATAAAGATACTCTTTCAAATTTTGTTTTTCTTAATTATTCACCTCTTGCAATCATCATGTAAGACATTCACATCTGGCGGGTACATATCTCTGTCAGAGCTGCTCTCTTCTACAAGCTGGCACAACTACTTGATCTTAGAAAAGATCAAGGAGAGAGCGCCGGAGTGTTATAAAACATGCTACTGCACTGCAATGAAAAATGTGAAACAGGTCATAGGGTTTTTAGCACTACAGGACATATTTGACCAGATATCCTCGTCTGTACTATATTTAGCGCCATAATTCAGCGCAAATATATAGTACATTAAAAAGTGCCACAGATTTTTGTATTTAGCAGAAGGGGTTAAAATAAAAAGATAAATATTTTGTTAAGAAATCATCCACAGTGACCCAACACATACATTTCAATATTTAATGGATGCTTAGGCCCTTACTACTAAAAATAAATCCAGAACCACATTTTTCATTGTCTAATAGGAAAGAAAATCAATTCCTTTTAATCACGAGATATATATGGTAGTGCCAGACCAGAAAATATTACCATCTTTTTTAATGAAATGGTACTTTAGACTCAACAATTTCAATTACTCTGTGATTGCAAAAGTGGCAGCAACAAGCAGTTCTTGACAAAATCAAGCAGTTTGCATGAGAAAGCCTTCAGAACATTTTGCTAATCATTGTCCCAGCTAGCATATTCCAAGTGGTGCTATTTTATGGGCTGTCATCCCTGAAGTCGAAAAATAATGTCCATTCACAGTAGTCTCAGAAAAGTATTCTTATTTGTGCATATTATCATTTTGCTATCCTTTCATTTAATTTCTCCTGCTGCACACACACATACCCCCCTTTGTTCAGTTCACCTGTTTTACTTTTTCATGTGCACCTCCTTTGAAAACAGTTCAGAAGTTAACCAGTACCATCAGCCACACACTCAAACGCTGTGGCTTTCCTTACGATGTTATCTAGCCTTGATCAAAGATTAAGGGTGTTTTTTTTCTAGACCTTGTGGGCATTTACTTTTAGCATACCTGGGTTTGGATTCTGTTGAGCCCTCTGAACCACAGAATTTGTCCACGTCGAAGTTCTCTCTCTGCATGATCAATTTCTTCAACATCTTCATTGAGTTCTTCCTCGGGGGCTTCCTCCTTCTCAGTGAGCCTCCCTGCCTCCTTTAAAAACTTTAGCCTACTTGTTGGGATGGTTGCAATGACCTAAAATTACAAAAAAGTACTGAAAACATAAGCCTCATTCAATAACCATAGTGCAATAATCTGCTCATTGCAGAAGAACATTGACATTCTAATGAAATCTACAGTCTTCCAGGGAAGCTAAGATAAGCATATTCACAATAGTACTTTACACTTACACAACTCCATCTTAGTCCAGAAATACTTAGTTTGCTGTGTAAACAATTAGCATTAATTGCATAGCTAAACCACATTGGCAATCCACAGCTGTGGAGTAAGTCTAAGGCTGGGAAAAATGTTCTTTCTCAAAAGACTTAAAGCAGATGTTTTTATTTGAAGGTAGTTATATAATCTTGGCAAGATCAATACTTCTGCAGCTAGAGTTTGGGTATTTCTAATGACTTAAGATAATGAATGTTAATGTGAGCTGAAAATTAGTTGCACCTCATGCTTAAAAATCTTCTCACACTACACTGGTTCCTGTGTTTAGCTTCCCTTTCGTTTGGCAGGTTGAAATGCTTTTGTCAGCATGTCTCAAAAACGAGGTTTCTGAAAGGGATGGGTTTGACTGCCTCCCTGTTGGACTTACAGACCTAGCTCTTCCTCTGTGTCCTTGTAACTAATAAATCCTGATTAACTCAGCCCCAATTCTCATTCTGTTTGTCCACCAAAGTGGTCCTTGGATATAATTAACATAGGAGACAGCAATAATCTTAAAGATGTGCACATTCAGTGTGACTCTCCTGGGTTATTTTCTCTTTGTTCTAATTCCTTTTGCCAGCTTACATAAAAATACATGCAGTTGGCCATTTAAACAAGACACAACCTGGAGCATATTGACCACTTAAAAAAATCCCAAATTTCCTACAAAGTTAAATCCATAAAAACTATTTAGCAAACAAACAAACAAAAAAAAGTGCTGCAATTTTCTCTTTTGTTTGTCTTTGTTTCAGCATGGAGCAATCGCATCTCTGAAGCCCAAATGTGCAAAAGACAGGAGATAAAAACAGTTGCAGGAAAGCTGGTGAGGATGTATCTTACAGTTCTGGAAAACTGAACTGGATGTAGTGAATACACATGAAGAGGCACCAAATATTTGCAGGATAAAAAGAAACTGCTGAGTTTGTGAGGGTCTCCTTGAACTTCATGAGCCACAACTCCACTTATATTCTTTATAAAATCAAAGAAATGTCAAAACCCCCACCAGCTTCACCACTACTACAGAACCTTCTTAAAATGCATTTTGGGGTGGAAAACCAAGATGCAGACTTGGAAAATTAATGAACTGGCTGACACCAGCAAAGACAGAACAGGGTTAAAAAGAAAAGGTAAGTGCTAGTCACTTAAATACTTACTGAAACTCCAGCTTTCCAGCTTTCAAAACACTACAAAGCCAGCACTCTACAGAAAGGAGCTACCTGGGAGGGTTTGGCATCTGATGGAAGTAATGGTGGTGAAGTACTTGCAAGACAGTACACATAGAAACAATTGTATTTGGTGGTGATTCTGTGCGATAGAACATACTTCCTCTTCACGACCTCTCTCAGCCAGGCTGACACATTCTGCTCCAATTCTTTTCTTAGGGTGTTTGCATGTCTTTTTGTTTGCTCATTTGTTTTCCATATCTGCAGACACCTGCCCAGTTCAGGTAATGGCACACTCAATTGGCCGGATTTAGATTAAGAAACTGAATATACTCCCCATAAAATTCTCATAGTTTTAAAAGGTGATCGATAATTCTGGGACTGTAACATGAAATATTTTAGAAAGACTTGGCTTTCAGAAGTGATGTGGGCCACCTTTTAGAAAATGGTCCCTCAAAGCATCTCAAGAGTGGCTTCCTAGAAGTAAAACCTTAAATCATGTTTTAAAGTGCCGGTTTTAACATCTCAGCCTGAAAATCTTGATTGGTTCTAGTGGTTCAAAGGAACAGAGCACATTCAGGAGACTAATAAAACAAAGGGATAACAAGTTTGTTTCGTGCTAAACTAGAATTAGTCATAGCAGAAGAGAAAAGGCTGAGAAGGACGGGAGGCACCTCGACTAAAGGAAAAGTCTCTCATACTGTAGAGCTGCATGAAGAGAGGACTTGCACAGAGTGTAAATCATGTAAAGATGCAAATGCATTTGTTTAGCTTGTGTTTTTCTTCTCTGGACACTAAATACTGCTGGGCTACAAGGGAAAGAGTTTTACCCTCTGTATTTGCTTTATGTAAAAATGTAGTTTTTCAGTGCTAAAATTGTTGAGGTATTCCAACAGCAATTTTAATTTGATGGCTAGGCTCTCATAACAAGGCTCAGCCAACTATGCCCATCCTTAAACAGCAAAGAGATGCTGATATTATTCTTAGTTTTCAGTGGTCAAGTAATAACCATGTATAACAAAATTTAGAAGTCAAATAGTACATTGATCGAAGGCTGTGGGAAGTTTATTACAGCTGGTCTAATAAACCTGCTAGGATTTTTCTCCTTTTCCCTGCTTTTCTTCCCCCCTTTCCCAAAGTTGGGCATTTTCCCATCAGTTGAAAACAAATCTTTTCGTTCCAAGAATTAGCACACTGACTTTAGATCTTCCTCCTGCAAAGCAAATCCCATCTTCAGCAGAACAACCTAATAGTGGTGGGTTTCAGCAGCATATGCATTAAAAGCTGTCATGTCTCTGAGGCCCAATTGTCCAAAATACTGTTTTCCATTAGAGGACAACTAACTAGATTTGAAAGCTAGCATCTGATCATTACAATGCCATCAGAACCAAATGAGTATTCAATTGCAGCTGACAATTTCTTGCTGTTTCTTCACAGTGCCAAACTAGCTGATCTCTGTGTAGCTTCACAGCTGAGAAGCAACACATAATTTCTCATTTTTACTGTGTCAGGTGGCATCAGCTTAAATACATTAATAATGTATTCAGAGATGAAAAAAAATAATGTTATTAAGTTTGCTGTATGTGTTTGTGCTTAAAAGCATCGCAGTATGTATTTTAACAATACTGACTGTAGATGTGTTGTAACTTCTAGTCAGATAATCACATAACTTGTCTCACTGACACGTGCTTTTACATCTCTTATATAAGTTTATATGAGCTAATAATGACACAGGGTGTAGCAGAATTTTAATGTGACACATGAATTAAACTGCACTTTCCTGCAACTATTATAGGAAAAAGATCCTTTTTTTTTTAATCTGCTCTTCCATCCTGCAGGGAAGTAGGTGGATGAGGATCACTGAGGGTATGTGTTAAATGCACTGGACTTAGTCCTGCACCAGTAACAAGGCTATCATGGACTGGCTGAGTGGGTGTTTCAGCAAGAAAATGAGTGGGTTGATAGAGAACTGGAACTAAACATACACGTGCTGCCTTGGGTACTCTATTGCAGCGAAGGTCACCATGCACTGGCCCTTCCTATGCTCTTTTTGTGACTAGAGGACTAGGTTATGAATCAGTGTCTTTCCTGAAAAAGCCTAACTGAAGATGACCTTGGTGATAGCACGTCCTGCTTAGGGAAAGAAAAGATATGAAAATTAACAAAAATCAAAAGGAACAGTGGGATAAATTATCCTTATTGCTCTGTCTGCTCTTGAAGTACTTAGAGAGCACCTGTATTTCGGTGTGTTCTACAAGTGGCATTGTGAGAGAGCAAGGAAACAGGATAGTAGGACTATGAGCAATATCACATCTTTGATGGTTTATAAAAACAAAAGACAGAATTCTGCATACCTGACCCCATACAAGTTCTCCTAGTCCAATAAATACACACCACATCCACTGGTCAAGCTGCAGGGGGGAACAGCTAAATGGTTTTCCTCCAAACTGGACAATTACTATCTACAAAGAAAAGCAGAGAAGAAAGGGGGTCAGTATTTGCTGGGGACAAAATAAAACAAACTAAAAAATTACCCCCTCCACATTCCTCCCCCCAAAAAGCCCCAACAACTTTCAGTCATATTTTACTTGAGATTTTAATTTGTCTTGTGCATATTATAGCTCTGCTGGTTTCACTCCAACAATATTTTACCAGGAGAATAGTCAAACATATTGCAAACGACCTTTAGTTTAATGGACTCAATCTAAAAAGCACCAAAAGCAAAATGCTCTCATATTCCACATAGGTTGTTTGGCACTCATTTGACACTACCCGAGGTACAGTTTGGGAACCCATCCAGCAAAACCTCAGAATCTCAGTCACTACAAATCCAGCCGTATAAACTTATTCACCTCAAATTAGGGGTCAGAAAAAGCCATAACAGTTCAGACTAAGGCTTCTGCAGCCTCACACCTAACAAAGGTGATACAGGAATGCCCAAGAAGAAATAATGACTGTCCCCATGTGATCTCCCAGATTCTGAGTATTCTCAGCTGGAGATCTGTTGATTCTGGAATAGTTTATTTTGAAATGCCCACTGCATAAGAGATTTTTCCTCTAATTAACATTTTATTGCACTGTTACAAATGTGTTACCATGGACAGACTGATAGGATACCAACTCTAGTCCTGCTGGAGAAAGAGGGGGGGACAACCCCACACCATGCAGTAGGATAACCGGCACACAGAACCTGACCAAGTTTCTAGGCCTGGTTAGATTGTGAAGGTTTTGCTGACAAAGTCAGATATTACTGATATTTTTGTTAGTAGTGCTGTTGCATAACCAGGGAGCTGAAATCACAAGCCAGAGATTTATACTGACTGTCAAAGGCTGAAAAACACAAGTTCACAAAGTGGTAGTCAGGTCTTAGACACAAAAGAACACTAATACACAAAGTGGTTGATTCCCTTTGTGAGTGAATAAACACAAACTATGAACACAAATTCACCCATGTGAAGTGCAAATACACAGGAAGAGGGAAGGGACAGGGAATGGAAGGTAGTAGATAGGAAGGAGGAAAATGATTGGAGAGAGTAAGGAAAAAGGAGGAGACAGAACAAAAACTGTGAATATGACACTCAAATTCTAAGCAAGAAATTGCAAGTCTGTATTGAGAGATTGCTAAGTGCTATATGGCAGATACGGCATGTTTTAATCCATCTGCCCTCACTGTGACAAAACTTTACTGGTTCTGAAAGCAGAGAAAGGATTTAAAGAAATCTATTGCTTGTCTGTGGACAGGAGTGGTAACTACCCTGTTATTTCTCAAGCTGTTGTAGCTCTCTCAGGAGCACTTTCTGATCCTTACTGAGGAGGCATTCTAATAGTCTCCATATTTGTTACCTTGAAAATTTGGCCACTGCTTCTACTTTTTCTTTGTGGAGGGATTTAGGAGGAGGACTAAACTATTAGTTAATGGAACTACTGCACTCAAAGATGAAATAGCAAAGCCATTAGTCTGTACTTCACAGAAGGCGTAGTAAATATATATGGAACTAAGACAGTCTGCAGTATGAAATAAAGCCACTTCTGTAATCTCCCACATCCATCTACATAATCTAACCTCAATCATTTTGGTTTAGAGTAAGATGCTTGGCTCACTCATCCAGCTATTAAAACACACAGCCAAAATTCCAAATACTTTCCTGAGATTGCTTCAGCAAGCAACATTATGCAAGCTGTATTTCCACAACGTAATACACGAAGTGGAAAACAGAAAGATTAACCTTCTGCTGTCTCAAGAAACATGACCTGGTTTTAAAAAGAGACTTAAAAGCAAGTAGGAGTTACAGCCTTTCTTATGTTACAATGGCTTTTTCGATTCACTGTTGGAGTGCAAACCTAGTGTTTTGAAGTTTGCACTTAAAGTATTTCAGCTACTAGGGAAGCAGGAGAGAGTGAGCAAAATCAGCAGCCAGTTCAGAAATGTGGCTAGTAGCTACATGACACTGTTCCTGCAGCCAGACAACTGAAAAGTAATGCCTAGAACTAAGAAAACATCCTCAAACACTACCCATGATTAAAAATAAATAAAGAAAGAAAGAATTAGAGATGAGTGTGAGTTTGTCAGGCCTCTCCTAAAGGCATTTTAGTTCCTGTTAGTAAACCCATGTTTTCAAACTAGCTGTTAAAGAGCATCACTGTCAAGTTCTACTACCAATCACTGGTGTCCTTTTTCCCATACTTAGTTTGAGTGGTTTTCCCTTTGCTGTTTCAAACCACTATAGCCCAGTTTCTAATAGCTCCACCCTCATTACTACTTCCATGAGAAATATCCCAATACTGACAGCTTCCAGCATACCAATGCAGAACTGAGCAATAATGTCGAGACAGAAATAGCTCAAATCTAAGCAACTATGAGGGCTGCAGCAGGCTCCTAAGAGGTAATGTCAAGTGGTATTAAGTACAGGATAGAAGTCAGCAAATGGATGGATACAGGAGTGGAAGGAGGAAGCTGAGTTCTTACAGAAGAAAAATCACAACTATTTGGGAAAAGTGTATTTCTGTCATGATGCTCACACATGACTGAGACAGCAAACTCTTGAGATAGACATGAAGAATTACCACCAAGGCACAGTATTACTGAGAATGTTGAGTAACATTAGGCAGTGGCATTTACCCTCAGAAGGCAGTGGCATTTACCCTCAGAAGAACAGATCAGCATTAGCTATTTGAAAGCTAATTTATCTATTCACAGAGTAGTAAATTAAAGTAAAATGCTTTTTTTTTGCTATTGATTGGTATACTATTTAATAATTTCTTCTACAAAAAAAAAACCAAACAGTTCCAAGACCAAAAAATCGTAATGGATGTTATTATTGCACATATTCAGATTAATTTAGGGACTGACCTACTTAAAACAATAAAAAATTATGCTTTACTAGTACGACTACATAACATACTCCATTACTAACACTTGCACTGATTCAAAAAATATGTGAAACTAGGTGCTTTACTGTTAAGTGTACCCCCTACAACATTTAGGTTTAGAAAGAAAGAAAATGTACAAAAGTTACACTTCTGATGAACACTTACTAATTCTTGCCCAAATCATTACCTGAATAGCAAATGTACCCAATACAATAGTGCAAAAAATAGGATTTCTGAAGATGCCATCAAAGACATTCCTTTCACCATGGATTTTCCGTGCGTTGATTTCATTGAAAAGCTGCATCATGACGAAGGTATTGAAGATAATGGTGTAGTGCTCTGAAGGAGGAGAGTGAAGGGGTGCATTCCTCCCACTGTCAATCTTGAACATTTTCTCACCTAGGCATAAGACAAAAATAAAGGTTTCCACTAGAATAAGTTAATCAAACTTAAAAGTGCATTTCCGTTGTTTGCTTTAGCTAGTTGACTCCTGTGCTCTGCTTTACCAGCTTGCTTTCTGCACTTAATACATATACGCAGAATTTATAACGCCAGTAAGCAAAAGTTATCTAAACTTCTTGAGCAACGAGCTTCTCAAATGACAGAATCATAGAATAGAATCATAGAATAGTTAGGGTTGGAAAGGACCTTTAGATCATCCAGTTCCAACCCCCCCGCCATGGGCAGGGACACCTTAAGCTAAATCAGATCACCCAAGGCCTCGTCCAACCTGGTCCTGAACGCTGCCAGGGATGGAGCATTCACAACCTCCCTGGGCAACCTATTCCAGTGCCTCACCACCCTAACAGGAAAGAATTTCCTTCTTATATCCAACCTAAACTTCCCCTGTTTAAGTTTTAACCCGTTAACCTTTGTCTTATCACTACAGTCTCTAATGAAGAGTCCCTCTCCCGCATCCCTATAGGCCCCCTGATGACTTTTACCTATTAACTCAGTATATCTATGCAAAGTTTTCAGTAGTGCTTTTCCTATAACCAAGTAGTAATTATTCTAAGCCAATTCTTTCTGATTTTCCAAGCACCTGAGACCATGTCTGTGATTTTCTACAATAGGTAGAAGCAACCACTCTTCAGCAGGTTTTACCCATTTGCTAATTCAGTATGGCATAAACTCTTGACAAGCATTCAAGCATTTTAATGATAAAACACACAAACATTCCTGGTTTTAAATGGATTTGGGTTTGATCACGCTGCTTGTCTGCTTTGCAAGCACACCATGAGGCACTGCTCCTTATTTGGATGATTTTACTCGCTTTTAGATCTAGTCAATAAAAAAGCAAGATACAACCTATGATGAGTAACTGTAAAAATGAGGAAAGTTTTGAAAAGATACTTGTACCTGAGGGACCTCTTTCTTTGTGGAATGGTTTAGTTTGGAAGGAACCTTTAAAGATCACCTATAGTTCAATACCCCTGCCATGGGCAAGGACATCTTTCAGCAGAATATGTTGATCAAAGCCCAATCATAGAATCATAGAATAGTTAGGGTTGGAAAGGACCTTAAGATCATCCAGTTCCAACCCCCCTGCCATGGGCATGGGCACCTCACACTAAACCATTCCACCCAAGGCTTCATCCAACCTGGCCTTGAACACTGCCAGGGATGGAGCATTCACAACTTCCATGGGGAACCCATTCCAATGCCTCACCACCCTTACAGTAAAGAATTTCCTCCTAATATCCAATCTAAACTTCCCCTGTTTAAGTTTGAACCCATTACCCCTTGTCCTGTCACTACAGTCTCTAATGAAGAGTCCCTCCCCAGCATCCCTATAGGCCCCCTTCAGATACTGGAAGGCTGCTATGAGGTCTCCACTCAGCCTTCTCTTCTCCAGGCTGAACAGCCCCAACTTCCTCAGCCTGTCTTCATACAGGAGGTGCTCCAGTCCCTGATCATCCTTGTGGCCTCCTCTGGACTTGTTCCAACAGTTCCATGTCCTTTTTATGTTGAGGACACCAGAACTGCACACAATGCTCCAGGTCAGGTCTCACGAGAGCAGAACAGAGGGGCAGGATCACCTCCTTCGACCTGCTGGTCACGCTCCTTTTGATGCAGCCCAGGATACGGTTGCTTTCTGGGCTGTGAGCGCACACTGAAGCCGGCTCATGTTCATTTTCTCATCGACCAGCACCCCCAAGTCCTTCTCTGCAGGGCTGCTCTGAATCTCTTCTCTGCCCAACCTGTAGCTGTGCCTGGGATTGCTCTGACCCAGGTGTAGGCCCTTGCACTTGGCATGGTTAAACTTCATGAGGTTGGCATCAGCCCAGCTCACAAGCGTGTCGAGGTCCCTCTGGATGGCATTCCTTCCCTCCAGGGTATCAACCGAACCACACAGCTTGGTGTCATCGGCAAACTTGCTTTGGCAAAATCCAGTGTGACTTTGAACACTTCCAATGATGGAGCATCCACCTTCTCTGGGCAATCTGTTCCTGTGTCTCACCACCACATTGTAAAAAAAATTCTTATGTGCAACCAAACCTACACTCTTTCGGTTTAAAAACACTGCCCCTTGTCCTTTCACTATAGGACCTGCTGAAAGGTATCTCTCTGTCTTTCGCAGAAGCCCCCTTTATATATCAAAAGGCTGCAACAAGGTCTCCCCTTAAGGAGCCTTCTTGTCTCCAGGCTGACCCAGCCCAGCTCTCTCAGCCTGGCTCCAGAGCAGAGCTGCTGCAGCCCTTGGAGTGTCTCCGTGGCCTCCTCTGGACTTGCTCCAATAACTCCATGTCCCTCTTTTGGTGTTGCCCCAGAGCTGGACCAGGATTGCAGGGAGGGTGTCTCACCAGAGCGCAGCAGAGAAGGAGACTACCCTCCCTGACCTGCTGCTCACGCTCTGGGGGTGCATCCCAGCGCACGGAGGGGTTCTGGGATCAAGCACACTCTGATGGCTCATAACCAATTTTTCATCTACTTTCTTATGCACAAAGTTTACAGGTAACAGTTATTGAAAGAGGCATTGTGTCCTGGGCTCAGCAGTAGCAGTCATTTTTCTCCTTAGTAGCTGGTGCTGTGTTTTTGACCGGCTGGGCTTAAACCATGGTACACTGTCTTAAAGTAAGGATGGTCATTCACATGAAGCATAACTAATGAATGAAGTACCACAATATTACCCCATTTCATAACCAGTGTTTTGTTAATGACAGCAAATTAAAACTTCTCTATCCTACTAGCATAATATTAAGAATTTCTGAAGAAAGAAGAAAAGTTTCTGCAGATTTTCGCCAGAGAAATTAATCATTAATTCCATCAGCTATCAGTGAGCGCTTTCTTGCCTTGCGATATTTGAGCAGTTCATGTTCAAGTCACTTGGAATAATGAGCATGTTTCCAAAGAATTTGGCTTTTAGACTTTTGACAGAAATTAGATTAGGATATCACAAATACAGCAGTAACACAATATGAGGCCACAAAACTTAGAGTGCAAGAGAGCAGATAGTTTAAAGAAGAGGTTTATGCCATACTGGATTAGCAGTTGCTAATCTGGATTCCTAGGAAATCCAGACCTCCACAGAGGTAACTAAGTATTGTATTCAAATATTCTACTTACTACATAAAAACAGTAAAGGAAAAAATTAATGGAAAAACAGATATAATAATTTTATCCATTATAGATACATACACACATACAAGCACACACATTACATCTATTTGCTTTCATTCAGTACACACACGAACACAAATACATGAATAATTCTTCCCTCAGTCAAAGTATCGGTCCTTAAATCTCTATTATTGCATTGCATCCCTTAAAAAGCCTAAAAGCAGAACATGCTGCTATTGTGGAGTGGCACTGGTTAGACCCATAACTACTTTTATTTCCAAACGTTCCAAAAGGCACTATAGTACATCAATGTTATTATGCCTAGTTGCTGAGGTTATGATTTATTTTTAATACTACAGTTTGACAGAACTAGACAATGACTTCTGGATTTCCAATGTACCTGATGTCTTAAATGCACTACTGTATGTTCAAACACAATAGATTTATTGCCACATCATAGAAAAAAAAAAAACAACCAAAAATGTGATGTACTAGTCTCTAGAGAAACCAAGTACAAAAAAAAAATAAACTATTAGTTGGTCAAAATAAAACTAATTCTCATTAATTTGGGATTTAATTATCAAAACACTGCATTTAGAACATCATCTCACTGCAGAGCTAAGACCCGTGGAGTTTGGAAAAGACTATTTCATAGGCTTATCAGAAAATTGGTTGTGCTGCGTCCTTCAAAGTATGCATGGATTTTCCACAGACACACAGAAATAATCAGAACAGGGTGAAGAGAGGTCAGGAGAAAGTATTTTAAACCATAAAACTTATCAAAAAGCCATTAAAACTCCCCATAAAGTCCACAGAAGTTCTTGTTCCAAGATTCATATCACATGAATTACCAAGAAGAAGGCTCAAAAAACTCCTAAGAATCATAAATTTACAGTTACAGCTTATATGGAAGTCAGTACATAAAGAAAAAAATCTGAAAGAGAACACACGTAATTTAAGGATGATGACACAGTGACAAGAACACAATACCCAACTGATAACATTATCAGTCCTTTGAGCAAAGTTCACTTACTACTGTGAAGGAACAGAATCTATTATTAGACCCTGCTAGTCCCGGCACCAAGAAACATTCCTCCTCCTTCCCTCCCCTCTCCAAAATACAGCTTATGAAAAGCATCTGTTGCTAGCAAAGCCTGAGGAGGAGTCCAGCCATCTCATAAATTAGATTTTGTTTTCCCCTTTTAATATCCATCCTAGATATAAAATGTCTAAACAGAGTGCTATTTGTATCACTTAATACTAATTACTTGCTTACCAATACTACAGAAGATCAGCATTATTCCTGGACTATGGCAAACATTTTGCTCCTGATTAGAGCTTCTCCAGCTATTGGTAAAATGGATCTTGATTTTTGCTATGTTTATATTGTTGCTGTTAATTTTTTGCTACATGCCTATTAAAGATGACAGATCTCAAAAGGAAACTTCGGAATAGAAGAACCAGGCTAGATACTCTGCTTAAAATGCAAACCTATGCTACACTTTAACATGAACTTTTGGCAAAGCCCGGATTTTGTTAGGAGGCAGAAAAGCTCACTGAGGCCTTTCCCAGGGGAAACAACAACTGAAAGGTGACTCAGTCGCTCTATTGCATGTTTTCTATTACCCCTACTATTTCTGATCCCATTAAACACTTCACTTCTGCTAGCTCTTTCACTAAGACAGACTTATATGCATTAAGTGGTTACATTTACAGCTTTCTGACATGTTCTAAACCAAGCAACAGGCATAACAAACTTCCTTACCGACAAAAAGAAGTGTAAATATGAGAGTGAGCTGATACACAGCGTGGCCCAGAATGTTCTTCATCATGGTACGGGATATAAGAGGCTTGTTCCTGCCATATGGCTTTCTCAGCAACAGAGCCTCAGTGGGAGGTTCAGTGGCCAAAGCAAGGGAGGCAAAGGTGTCCATAATGAGATTGACCCACAGCATCTGCACGGCTTTCAGAGGAGAGTCCTGTGGAGACAGAAAGTTTCACATTTCCTAGAAAAATAATGGTTGTCAGGTCTTTTACTGGGATTTCATTTCTTCCTGTGTGATGCCAGCAGTGCTGAAGATGGGACACTGAAATCCACAGCCCTTTAGTCTGTCCTGCTATGTCCTTTCTTGTCTTCTTACGCAAGACCAGTATGACAGGACACACAGTGATCTGAGCAAAGATAAATTATTTCTCTTCAGTCCCTTAAATCAGGAATATTTACAATCACACAATGCTTATGAAGCATAACAGGACGCTTTATGACAGATTTTACAATATCCTCTGTTACTTCATGCATCATGCTGAACTTTCCAGCTGAATTTAGGTAACTAGATAACACAAGTGGGAGTTCCTTTCCTGGAAGAAAAATTATACTGGAACAGTTTAAAAAGTAATGTTTCCGTTTACTATAAATGCCCTATCTGTTTTGTCAGAAACAGCTTGAAATTATTAACAATTTATGAAACAATTCCTGAGACATGTGAACACATCTTACATCGATAAGACCTTTTAAAAACAGTGGTGAATAAAAAAAAGCCTGATATCTGGATTAAAAAAAAACTCAACACCCCAAAACTCATTAAAATATATCAAATATGAAAAAATAATGAATTCCTTGTTATTTCACTGGGTAACAGGATAGTATATTTGAAACTCTGGAACTGGAAAGAAAAACTCAAACATTACTAATTTTCTGAAGCAAATCTCCAACCACTAGAAGGAGCTCTTTCCTCACTCAAATCAAGAGTCTATGGTCATATTACAGAGGACTTGAGATCTCCTTTTAAAACATCCCAAAAGAAAATAAATAAAACAAACTAACACAGATCTCCAGAGAACTCGAGATGATTATTAGAGAGTTTGGATTTGAAATTCACTAGGGCAGCTGTAATGATAGATGCAACCTCTTCAAGGAGCCATATCAGGAAGAATGAAAGAGGTTCTTCTGTATCTAACAACCTCCTTCCTATGCTTTTAGACTGAAGCCAGCATGGGCAGCATTAGTAAGGTCTGCTTTCTGTTTCGGATAGATGTTTTTTATTAGAAAAATAGAATCTCAAAGGTAACAAGGTATCAGCATGACAGATCTTATGATGGAAGGGAGTTAATCTGCAGTGTGGAAGTTGGAAGATCTGAGCACCTATTTTTATGCATTACATTACCATGCTGCTGTAATAATGAAGCAAAAAAATCTATGGACCAGTATACGAGCCAAATCAAAGCCAATAAATTCACCTCATGAACTCTGTCCTTTTTTTCAAAGAGTTAAAAGTTCATTTTTAATGAAATATTGTCAAATAATGAGGGCCAATTCGGTATCTCAGGAACATACGGAGAGCAATGGTAAGTGGTTTGGTCTCTTGTGGATCTGGTTTATATTCCAACTCTCCCTTGCGAGAAACTTATTTCCTCTTGAAAACATGTATTTAACATCCCTACAGTTAGATATATTTTGATACATCTTATTCATAAACAAAAAAAACCAACAAACTAATTTTTGGCTTATTTGAAGGGATGGAGAAAAGCAACCTCCTGTTTCTAAGTTCTACAGGTTGGCTACATTAGGGAAGATTAGCATAAATAGATTTTTGACCTCTTGGTTATGTGTTGCATTAACTGGGCTTATGTGGAGAGTTCAGTCACTCATTTGGTATGCAGCTGCAGAAACAGGAAACATCTTTGTCGTTAGAGGTGGCTAAAAACCTGAAAGCAATCAGGACAAACTTGGTTCCAAATTGAGGCCTCATTTGTTTTTTATTAATACTAATGCCTCAAACAAGGAGAGTACTTTCACTAAAAGCAGTTTGTTGCTAGGGCACAGTATATAGAGAAAAAAGAAAACATGGTTTCTACTGAACAATTTTCCTTGTCATACTTCTACCTGTTGGGTTAATAACTTTTCTAGAGAAACATTCTCTACTTTGAAATGTTACAACAGCTGAATTTCCACTCCCTGTGCTGACTTCTATGTCAGTAAAACTGAATTTGTCTGTTACGCTTAACAAATACAGTTAAATATTCAGGTGTCTATCAGAGCCTGATGTATTCCTAGCATAACGAAGAGGCAGATTATTTCAGTCTCTAAATCACGCAAGTGTAGTTGGCAGTCATCAGTTTTGGCAACAACTTGTTCTCACCATTTCACACTGCCAATCACCTTGTGTGGCTATGGTGCCCCTAATAATTATCTATTATTGGCAGTGCTACACTGCTCAGTCAAGTGTGAAAGCTCATTCTAAGCTGAAGCCAAAACATTAAATACACATTAGTCTGGGCAGGCAGTGGAATGAAATTTCCACTGCAACTCTATCTGATTTCTGATTAGTTGGTGGAAGCTGAGGAAAATACCTATCAGCTAAGGAGCTTAGTCTTCCATTACAGATTTTAGTCACTTATGCAAGTGGGATGCAGATTCAGTGTTCTTCTCATTTTGGTCACTAACTGACTAGCACTAGTTAGCTTCTAACTCACTTTCTGAAAAGTTTGGGGATGAAAGCTGCTCAAATTGCACCCAAAATCACCAGTTATTTGTCAAATTCCTTTCCACTTGACCTTGGAATAGGTTAGCTTTGGCCTAGAGGTAAAAGGAAAATGTCCCTTAAATCAAGTGATGTTACACTTCATCTTCAAAACACTTAAAAGTACAAACTGCCAAAGGCTGGAAATAAACTACAAATCTTTTGTGACATGCAGAGCCTCACAAATTTTAGAGCTTGTTACTTTTGATTTAGATGACAAGCTGTAGGAGAGGAAAAAGGTATTTTCACCTTTACCTCTTCACTCCCACTTGTCAAGAGAACACATGCATGGGTTTAAAAAAATGAGCATTTCTGGTGGGTTAATCTTATATCCACCAATGCAAAGAAATGTCAGCCCTCACTTCTGCTGCTAGATCATCCACTAACTGTATGGAATTGGCATCCTCAATTCTATCTCCATGGCTCTAAGCCCTCCCAAAACAAAGCTAAACAGTGTATACTTTGATTTTATATTATAGCTTTTTCAAATTTGCCAATGCTATGATTTTAGGATTTGCCAAATACAGTTCTGCATTCAAACATTATAACCAAGTAAATTACTGCCTTATACATGTAAGTGTAGATCATCCTCATTTCTTGAACAAGATCTGTAAAAACAAGTGATTCATGCAGTAGTTCACTGCTAGAGTGCTTTTTAATTTACATTTAATTTTCCAAACATAATGTACTATAGAGTCACTGGTTTCAATTCCTAATGTCTGCTAAAGCATTAAGTCTTTCTCAGATTACAAGAATAATAATTTGAATGCAAAGTCTTTTTCCTCTCTGTCTTTGATGCAACCTTTCTGAATAGTTACATTGCCTCAGCGGTTGGATATAGACAAAATTTGGCACAGAGGTAACCTGCTAGCTTTAGACTTCCAGTGAAAAGCTGTTTCCATTTGACTGACCTGCATTTTAAAATCTTTATTTTGTACATACCCAGATTATTTTTACAGCTCCAAACATAATGACCTAATATTCTCTTGGTACTGTGTAGGGGACAGGAAACGGGATGAATCTTCTGGCTTTGTAAGGCGCATATAAACCTCTATATGGTACCTAGAGATGTGGAGCAATGACTCATTTGAAGTGCAAAATTCACAGTAAATGTAGGCAGAGCTGCAAAGAAGAACCCTCATTGAGTCAGGCAAGGGCTGTGCAAAATGGTTATTCCAAGGATGAAGTCAGAATATAAGAGTTTATTTCTCATAAATCCACTGGAAAAAAGAAATCACTGGCTTAACCTGAGGTAACAGTTGCTAAACAGAATGGACAATTACATGAAAACTGGTCAAGATAACCATACCCTGATCAGTTTAAAAGCATGCACTGAGCAACCCAGAGAGAAGAAAGCAAGAGGTAAAGGAATTAGGTTATTTGAAAGACAAGGTGAATTAATACATCTTGGCTGCATCGTGTCACAAACTGCACTGGCATGGGACTAGTAGCAACAGTAGTTGTGATCTCATTGGTGGGTGTTATCTACACGCTGGAAACAAAATTAAGAGCACCTATGCAGCCGCAGAGGGAGTGATCACTAGTCAGCTTTTAGTCAGAGCAGGTAAGCATAGAACCTTCATACTCCAGTGTCCCAGTATGCTGGCTCCAAATTGCAGAACATACTTTTTGAGAGGTGACATAAGAAGCGTGGAAGAAATGTTACAACCTCCACAGAATTTGTCTCATTCTAGATTTGATTAAATATCACCAAAAACGTAACCTGGGGAATATTAATTAACCTGAATATTAATTGTGAACTAAAATTATATTCTGCTTGTCAAAGAAAGCCAAACTGACTACCTAAAAGCAAAGTAAAATCCAGTCTGATGTGGACCTTAAAATGTTCATTTTGAAGGTCACAGAAAGCTATGCTGCCTATAGATTTTAGCTTCACTTGTTTGTTAATAACTTAAACGTTTCAGTCAAGCTGGTAATTTAAGACCTGTGTACAGTTTTGCAGACTTAGATCTGTGTCTGTGCACCTAGCCTGTTTGCAAGGGGTTTTTTGCTATATTCATGCATTTCGAGATAGAGCTATTTTCAGGGTACGGTGATGTGCATGTTCTCACGGGTAATTTTTAGTAAAGCCTATGAGCCAAACAAACATAATGCCCTTTCACTGGCTAGAGCCTTTGGGTAAAAGCCTACATAATGATGTCCATTGTAAGCAGAGAAAGAACCGAGAGCTGCTCGAGATCATCAGCGGTGAGGTCTTTGAGCATAAACTGAACTACAGTGGAAGTAACTGCTGCCCTTTTGCTATAATTAAAATTTTAGCTTCTTTGGACCTCTCTGTTGGATTTGCATTTTTACTGCCAAATTAAGGAACTGCATGAGAATCTATCTGGACAGAAATACAGGAATTCTAGGAGGTGTACATTAAAAACCTTTAAACAGGGACTACAGACTTGACAGGCTCAACGATGGTCTTATAGACCATAAGGGCAATATAAAGACACCGGTCCGTATCCAAGCCCTACTAGAAGCCAGTGAAATTATTCAAAGGATAAAGAAAGCTCTGGAATGAAAAGTTTGCACTGTTTATGCACTTAGACTAGATAGAAAATAGACTTTACACTGTAATGTTTAACCTCTTAAAGAATAAACCAGATTATCCCTCAATTAACAAATGGAATATATTACCCTTCGTGTTTTCATCAAGCAACTGAAAAAAGTACTGGACATCAACAACAACAAAAAAATCACCTTAAATAAGTGTTAGTAGGCAGTAACTGAATGTCTATAAAACAGGGTCTTAAAAGGAATCACTCACAGCGGGCCCAGTCACAGCATTCTCACCATGCTGCCATTAGCACTCTTTTCTATGCTGTTTTGTCCCAGTGATGAAAATCCAGGAGGATTGACTTTCCAGAGTTTCAGTCCTTATTCCAGTACCGTCTGTTACCAACAGTAATCACTTTACAGCTAAGCATTTTCTCAGTATGCTTCGAAATAGTTCCAAGGGAAAAGTTATCCAACTTCTGCTGCCAGGTGAGGAATTCTGTGGCACAGAGCAGCTCAGCTGTGACACCCAGGCATCAGCAGGGCCTGAGGGCAGCTGGGGGAGCTAGCACTTGGCAGCTTACAGTTTTGACTTTTTGGAAAGCAAGTGAATTCAGGTGTCAGTGCGCTCCCTGAACAGGATGAAATAGTTATTGCATTTGTTAAGATCGCTTCCACTTCCTTCAAAAGCAGCCTTTTTGCATGTCTGGAACTCCCAGCACTATCCTTATGCTCACTCAGCAGGGGAGCTGATGGGTGACAGTCCCATCCACCCGGCCACTGCGTGGCGCTAGCAGAAGCTGAAGCTTGCTCACATGCCTGTATGTGTCAGTCAAGGCTTAGGAGAAGTTTGACCTCATGGTTTTGTAAAGGTACCTGGGTTTCAGGTTTCAAGTATCAATTCCATGATTACAATGTAAGTTTACCCTGGAACAGAGCTAATGACTTATTCATTGTTTTGCTGAGGTGTGCATGAGGTGAAATATACCCACGAAAACAGGCCTGTGCATCTGCATGATGCACAAGAGAGGGAAGAGGCAGCTTCCCCATTGTGTGTCTCCACCAGAGGAGGCAGTCTGTAACAGCACCTGTCTGCAGCATCACAATGACACTTTAATTTAGGGAGGGACAGCACTAAAACCTGCATGTTGTGTTTTATCCTCCATTAGAAAAACCTTCTGTACTAAATACATCTTTTCTTTCTAGGGAAAATAGAACTGCATTAGTCAAAAAGTAGTAATTTGAAGGGGGGAAAAACTGGCGTTTACTTCCACGCATGCTTTTTGCAAAAGATGTAAGACACATTGCAAGTACACCAAGACTGCACTGGGGGATTAACATAAAGGGAGAAAAAGAAATCACAGTCCAGCTGCATGTGGCATTTAACTGGTTTGTCATTTGCACCTGAAATTAAAAGGGATCGCCTGAAAGCAACACTGTTTTTATCAGTCAAAAAGCCTCCCCTGCTGGGATTACCTCTGTGTGTCAGAACTGCTCTCCTGAAAATAATAATAATCCCATTCCATAATCCATCAAAAATATACATTTCATAGTGAAATATTCTGAGAGGAAAAGGCCAAGTCCCATAACTTTGTCCTTCCAACCCCTGACGTTTTCTGTCCATCATCACAAGGTTCAGTCATGACGATAATATGTAAGCAAACCCAGGGAGCTATATGGAAGCAGCACAAAAATTAGCTGCCCTTAAAAGTAATCTGCTTCCAAGAGAAGACAAATTAGTTGACTTCCTTACGTGAACTGCTATTTAACACTTAGCAGCTTGATCCTAAATACACTGTTAATGCTCGGAAGAATTTCAGATGGTGTACTTTCTGCTTTGCAAAGTGAGAATCAAATGTAAGCCACTGTTACTTAAGAACAAAAAGTTACCTCAATAGGATTTGACCCCATACTTTTAGCAACGGCTCACCTGGGTAATGCATGCTCCAGTGAAAGCCACAATGACAGCCACAATGTTAACAGTGAGCTGGAACTGCAGGAACTTGGAGATACTGTCATAGACATTGCGTCCCCACATTACAGCCTTCACAATGCTACTGAAGTTGTCATCTGTCAGGATGATGTCTGAGGCTTCCTTTGCCACATCTGTTCCAGCAATACCCTGCAAAAATTAATTGTGACTAAAATTACCTCCTAGAAAGCACAGAGACAGAATACAGATCTTCATACTCATTCGAAGTCCACAGTTATGCAGAGACTTCCCAGCATAGTAACAGGAAATGCTGAATATATTCTGCATTTTCTGTTCACTAGGAAGTTTGCTAATGTGGCCTATTTTTGAAAGTAAGGACACAGAAGAGGGGATTGATAGCAATGGAGTTCATGTGATGATCGTTTTGAGTGGTTTAAATTACCAGCTTGATGACTACTGATCTTCTGAGTTATTTTTATCATTGATTATATCTTATTAATATACATGAACAGAAATGCTAACAAAAATTAGTTATGTATATAAATATATAGTCTAGAATATTAATGTCTTCTGAATCAGAGTACACTGGGAAGACATCTTTACACTTAGTGATGGATTTTACCAAAGCGAAATAGTGCTCCACTGTTGTGGAGAAAATAGTTTCATCTTTCTGTGTTGGCACAGGATTCTGCACATGGCCAGTAATTACCTCAGACAAAATACTGGAAAAGTAACAAAACACAGTGAATGAAAGGGTTCAGAAACAACATCATTCACCCCCTCCAATAACTAAATAATAATCAAGCAACTTTCTCAGCACGTAATGAATGAAAAAGCTCTTACAGCAAATCTACAATGACACAAATATCCATAAATATGCTCAAGATTATACCATTGCAAAGCCAACATCAGCTTTTTTAAGTGCTGGTCCATCGTTGGTTCCATCACCAGTCACAGCTACGACCTGCCTCTGCTCCACCTGGGTGCTGTCAATAATACCTGCAAAACATGTGTGTGTGTATACATACACATACATATAAATGATTAGTAAGATAAAACTCCCCTCTAAAAAATAGCAGGGCCTCTGTAACATAGATTACATAGTACCACACAAGTCTTGCACAGATCAGAAGAGTTATTTTTTTAAGGAAAAGAACCATGAAAGCTATGTCATCACTACTACACACTACCAGACATCACCACTAGAATTTACATGAGAAGTTCTGATCCCGCATCATCAAAACATCAACAAAACTTGCACAGAATTCAAAGGGAATGAAATCAGATCATTTTGTTCTTTTAGAAGATTTCTACTATTTAAAATCATGTGTCACAGTAAACACATTTCAGCCCAGCTCTCTGATTAAACATCAGTGGAAAGGATTTGCCAAAGACTTAAGTTTGTACTTAAAGCTCTCCTCAGCTGGGACTGAACTGCAGTATCTGCTTTACTGGGACACCTTCTGGCAATCAGTTTGACCTAAGCTAACATGCCATTAATGAATTATATTTAGCTGGAGCCAGTTTAGCATTTTAACAGCCATGTTCGATTCTGCCAAATACTGATTAAGAAGATGTAAAATAATTCTTTAAAATCTGGAGCCAAATGTTTTAACAAACAGACATAATAAAATAATTCTGACATTAATTTTGTGATCATTTGAGAAAAGAAAGCACTTTTCACTTCATGAATCAAGTTTCATAGAGCTAGCCTGAAGGGAGTGTTTTCCACTTATGCAGATGGAGAAAGTAAGGAAAAGAATAAAGAGTTTTTCTAAGGCAACAGAAGCAGCCCTGGTTTTTGATAGGATGGGGATCTTTCACCACTCATATTTGCATTTCCATGTCAGAGTCCATTCAAAGCTGAGTCTAGAATACAGGATTGTTGTGTAGGATACAGGAACACCTCTCCAAATTAATTAGGTGGGGAAATGACAAAATGCCTTTTGCTAACACATTTTGCACAGTCATAACCTCTAGAAGCAATTATCAAAACCTTCCCAGTGTGAAAAGCTTTCATTCTACTCTGGAATAAAATAACTCACATATCAGATACCTAAGCAGAAATAGGAAATTGCAGATTACAAAGCAATAGCTGCCTCTTGGTAAGGTTCAGGTTTATCGGGCACTCAGAAGATTGCAATGCAGCATGGAAGCAGGCAGTGCCCTGTGTTTTTCAGTCTTACAAAAAGCAGAAAAACCCCTGTTTGCCTTCCACTGGCAGGACGAACTAAGATAAATGGCACATTATTCTGATAACATCTTAGAATTAGAGCTTTCAATTTGTTGGGGTGATTTGCCTTTGGTATTACTAAATAAACAGGAACATCAGATGCCATTACTGTTAAAAACATTATTTTGGTCTTCCTTTCCTGTTATTAACACATCTTTTGATGTTAAATTAATAGTTCAAGCTTATTTTTAAAAAAGAATAGTTAAAATCTCTGACATGCTATAGTATTAACTGCTCCAAACAGGTAGATAACATCCTCTCACAACTGGATTCCAAATGGGAACACAACCCAAATCAAGCTGAAGAGGCTGTAACAAATGCCCTCCTATGAATAGCACTCTAAGGTCAATGACAGTACTACCAGCTGTCCTCAGCTAATTGCAAAGTCGTTTACAGGGTTCAGTAGTTGTTCACAAGGTTTAGCAGTCATTTTTATGTGTAAAATCAAACTATGCAGCTGGGATAAGACCAGCACAGCAGGGGAATTCCTGAAACTTGGCAAAGCTTCCACCCTAAAAAACTTTTGCTGTTTCATTGGTCTGTTCCCTCATCTTATGCTGTTGGGCCACGACTTTTTATCTGTCAAAAAGACTTTTATTTGATGGCCACAGGAATACACCTAGAACATAACATTACAGTGTGTTCCACACACAGACTCTGCTGATGTGGCAGGAATCTGGGAGGAGTCGTGTGGCTTGCATCAGGCATTGGGTTTACAGAGCAAGCAGCTTGTTTCTGAGGAGGGAAAAGCTGCTATTTAAAACAACTCTGTATAGCTATCAAGAGGGGCACTGTATGCACAAGCTTGCTAGAACAGGTACTGGCACTGAATACACAGGTGAATGTGAAATACATCCAGTACCTCCCACCTTCCTCCCATCTAACATTAATCAAAAAATTTCAAGGCTAATGTCAGTGTTACATGTAATATTACAGACAGCACTGGTGATTGTGAACAGTGCTCCACAGCTTCATGGTATTAGAATACAGGAAAATGGCTAAACCACGTTTCTGCACCAAGCATGCACCACAATGTGCTTTAGGTTACAGGGGAACCATGAAGGCATCAAGGCCTCCCACCAACTACAGAGACCTAAATGATATTTAGAGAGTAGAAAACTCGAGATTCAAGTGCAGTATACTTCCTGCTTCGTTTAAACTGGCCTTACGTTCATTGCTTCAGGGAAGAGTTGGCTGAAGCTGAATTTGACACTGTGGAACAGGTCAACTTCCTGAATTATTCTTCATAGGAATTTGAAGGAAAGTGAGTTTTAACATTTTCTTATAAATGAAAATTAAAAACCACTTGCAATTTATAACATGCTGATATTTAATTTCAGAATTTCAATGAATACACTTCTATCTATATTTATAATCCCACTTAGTCTCATGGCATGTTCACATTAATTGAGCCATATATAATACCATCCTGTGCAATAATATGTGAAATATTTTAGTAATTAAGGGCAATTATTAAAAATCTTTTCTTCTTTAAAGTTCTCTTTCTGCTTATTAATCCATCGGCTTTATATAAGAAAGGAATAGTTGTTTTCAATATCACAGAAAAACAATTCCAGCCTAATTTAAGCATATTGGAAGGCACAGCTTCTTTAACTGATAAAGTGAATATTTACTATACCTTCTCATAAGAAGATGCTCTTTCCCATCAGTTCTCAACAGTTGCTTCCCATTTTAAGTAATGAAAACATTGAAGTATTTCAGCAATAGTATAAGGACACATCAGTATAAATTCTATGAACTTGTTATATTTTGAAATAGGGTAAAAAGTGGAACTATACCAATGGGTGTCATAAACCCCGTAAAGAACTGTATTTCAGTTGGATTGAGATATCAAACCTTTTCACTGCACAGAAACAGTTGGTGATGCTAAACTTTTTGTTTTCAATGTAGCTCTACTTCAAAGCCATAAATACTTGAGACCAGCTGTCTGCCCAGTCTGCAGTGCTGAACCATGCCTTTGTCTAGTCCCTCAGCAGTAGTAAAAACAGAAATGCAAAATGAAAATGATCCTTTAGCAGGGTGGAATTGTGCTATGTTAAGGAGAAAAAATACTCCCTCCAGCAGCTGTATGTCATTAAATATTAAATATAAAAAAGTTTACTTTGTGATGTGTGTTTTTACCCTAGAGCAGATAGAATAAATCAAAGAAAAGAAAACCCTCTTGATCCCTCAAGTGTCTGAGAAAAACATAACATTTTAACAAGAGGCCCCAAACTAGTGAATATTTCAATAGTTTCTTGTAACTTTTAATGGTCCTTGGAGTATTACCAGCCAAAATTGCAGCATGATTTTCCACAGACTTGTTCTTGAACTTTGGATGACAACTTCCTTCTGCAAGTAACAGAGGAGCCGACAAGGAGAGGTGCCATGCTTGACCTCGTGCTCACCAACAGGGAAGGGCTCGTTGGAAATGTGACACTCCAGGGCAGCCTTGGTTGCAGCAATCACGAGATGGTTGAATTCGAGATCCTCAGGACAGTGAGAAGAGCGTGCAGCAAGCTCACTGCCCTGGACTTCAAAAGAGCAGACTTTGGCCTCTTCAGGAACCTGCTTCGGAAGGTTCCATGGGATATAGCCCTAGAGGGCAGGGGGGCCCAAGACTCTTGGTGGATATTCAAGGATCACCTGCTACAAGCTCAGGAGTGTTGCATCCCAACTAGAAGGGAGTGCAGCAGGAGGGCCAGGAGACCTCCTTGGATGGATAAGGAGCTGCTGAGGAAGCTACCAGGAGAATTGGCTACCCTGGATTTAGAGAAGACTGAGGTTCTCAATGACTTCTTTACCTCAGTCTTCACTGGCAAATGCTCTGACGACACCACCCAAGTCTTGGAAGGCAGAAGCAGGGACTGTGAGAATGAAGACCTTGGGCCCACTGTAGGAGAGGATCTGGTTCGAGACCATCTTAAAAACCTGAACATGCACAAGTCCATAGGACCTGATGAAATCCATCTGCGGGTCCTGAAGGAGCTGGCGAATGAAGTTGCTAAGCCACTGTCCATCATATTTGAGAACTCATGGCAGTCAGGTGAAGCTCCCGATGACTGGAAAAAGGGAAATATAACCCCCATTTTCAAGAAGGGGAAAATGGATGACCCGGGGAACTACAGACCAGTCAGTCTCACCTCTGTGCCTGGCAAAATCTTGGAGCAGATTCTCCTGGAAGGCATGCTAAGGCACATGAAAATCAACAAGGTGCTTGGTGACAGCCAGCATGGCTTCACTGAGGGGAAATCCTGCCTCACCAATTTGGTGCCCTTCTATGATGGGGCTACGGAACTGATGGAAGGGGTAGAGCAGTTGATGTCATCTACCTGCACTTGTGTAAAGCGTTCGACACTGTCCCACACAACATCCTTGTCTCTAAATTGGAAAGACATCAATTTGATGGACGGACCACTCGGTGGATAAAGAACTGGCTGGATGGCCGCATGCAAAGAGTTGTGGTCAATGGGTCAATGTCCGGCTGGAGACCAGTAACGAGTGGTGTCCCTCAGGGATCGGTGTTGGGACCAGTCTTGTTCAACATCTTTGTCGCTGACATGGACAGTGGGATTGAGTGCGCCCTCAGCAAGTTTGCCGATGACACCAAGCTGTGTGGTTCGGTTGATACCCTGGAGGGAAGGAATGCCATCCAGAGGGACCTTGACACGCTTGTGAGCTGGGCTGATGCCAACCTCATGGAGTTTAACCATGCCAAGGGCAAGGTCCTACACCTGGGTCGGAGCAATCCCAGGCACAGCTACAGGTTGGGCAGAGAAGAGATTCAGAGCAGCCCAAGGAGAAGGACTTGGGGGTGTTGGTTGATGAGAAAATGAACATGAGCCGGGTCCAGTGTGCGCTCGCAGCCCAGAAAACCAGCCGTATCCTGGGCTGCATCAAAAGGAGCGTGACCAGCAGGTCGAAGGAGGTGATCCTGCCCCTCTGCTCTGCTCTTGTGAGACCTGACCTGGAGCATTGTGTGCAGTTCTGGTGTCCTCAACATAAAAAGGACATGGAACTGTTGGAACAAGTCCAGGGAAGGGCCACGAGGATGATCAGGGACTGGAGCACCTCCTGTATGAAGATAGGCTGAGAAGGTTGCGGCTGTTCATCCTGGGGAAAAGAAGGCTGCGTGGAGACCTCATAGCAGTCTTTCCAGTATCTGAAGGGGGCCTACAGGGGTGCTGGCAAGGGACTCTTCATTAGGGATTGTAGGGATAGGACAAGGGGTAATGGGTTCAAACTTAAACAGGGGAAGTTTAGATTGGATATAAGGAAGAAATTCTTTACTGTTAGGGTGGTGAGGCATTGGAATGTGTTCCCCAGGGAAGTTGTGAATGCTCCATCCCTGGCAGTGTTCAAGTCCAGGTTGGACAGAGCCTTGGGTGGCATGGTTTAATGTGAGGTGTCCCTGCCCATGGCAGGGGGGTTGGAACTGGATGATCTTAAGGTCCTTCCCAACCCGAACTATTCTATGATTCTATTTGTTAGATACTTAGTTGCTCTATCATTTTAACTTGCCACATCTTCAAAACATTAATTGTATGAGTATTAGTTGCATATGGCATTCAGTAGTAGTAGGTATCTCTTGGATTGCTGCTTGTTTTTTTTCAGCTCTATTTCATTTATTTCCTTTTTCCTGGCAAAGGTTTTATTTTCCTCTTAAGGGAAATCCTGACTGATTCAAATGAGGACTCCCAAGGGACTTACTTAATCCACTTGATGAAACACAAATTGTTGTGTGTTTCGGAAACAAATAAACTATTAGGCTGTACAAGTCATGTCCTTCAACACTATACAACAGTCTTTTCAATGCTCTAGGGAAATGAGTAGACTTCAACTAACTTGATGTAGTTTTAATACTGACCTATAGACTTAATATTTCTGTGGTCCAACCCAGTGGTCTCCAAACCTTTTCAACATGACCACCTATGGCAGATACCCCAAAGTATGTATTTTATTTATAAATTATGCATATGTAATACTGTACTAATATATTTATGTACATTATAAAACATACATTAGAAAAGTATTAGACAGAAATGAAATAGTGTCTAAAAATCTTCTATTTAATAATGGCAAAATATATGTTCTTCCTGCATCCCAGTGGATTGTCCCTGATGTGCGTGCAGCCCACTTTAAGACCACTAATCTAAAGAGTACCTGGAAGGGGTGAGTAACAGCAGGATGTCTCCAGCTGCCCCATCTTTTGCACCGTACCATGGCTTACCAGATTTCTCTGGAATGATTCATGCTTCCAGAGCTCCTCACATACACTGGTCTCAAAGCCAAAGGACCCTACTGAGCCAATCTTCAAATTCACAATGGAACTTTAGCTCCAAAAGCACGTAAACATTAAAAAAAATTACATACTGCTCAAAAGCTTTTATCAATCATGTACGGGGTCTTATCAATAAAACCTTGCCATATCAAAAGGATTCCCTACCTAAATGTGAATTATTTAAGGAGCCAAGCAGCTGATAACATCTAACTGATAAGCCGAATCTTATCCTGAATGTCAGCTCCTGCAAGAATTGCTAAGATGGGTCTCCCCAGACTTTTTAGGGCCTTAGCAAAATAATCTGGTTCTTTCTTCATCAGGAAGCCAGCAAACACCATCTGCTGACAGGGCTTCTGCCGGCACCAGCCCCCCAGCTTAGAATGGCCAGAAATGACGTTATTCCTAATCAAAAATTAGCTGATTTCGTCAGCTGTCTTTGAAGTGTGAACTTCAAGGTCAACAGAGTAAGATTTCAAGTCATGAAGAAGTCAGTAACAGATAGGAAGAAGGCTTTATAAAGAAAATCATTAACAAATCCCTCTTTTATAGGAGCATTCCATCTGCAGTGTTGTAAGAGAACATCATTTGTGTGGTGCAGTCTGAGCAAAAACAGACTAAAAATACAGCCAGAAATCTGAAGGAAGCCAATACATCTCATAGCATGAGTGAGCCTATAAGAAAATGGACTAGGCTTAAAAAGCCCATCTCCATTCATGTAATGATATAAAGAGAAGGCTCCAAGTTTCACCATCTCCAATAACTGCTATTGTAACATGAAAAGCGTTTTATCTTGGAATACTCGTTAAAAATAACTGTCAGAGAACAGATGCGCTTCAGTGACTTGAGATTGTTCTTGTTTTCTTCATAAAGAAGTATAGGCAAAGAATACAAAATCTATGCCCCCTCTTGTTTCATATGAATAACTAAGTAATATTTTCTTTGCGACCAGCAAACACACATTTCCCCTTCCCAGCTACAGCCTCATTCTAGTCCAGTTAAAAGTCACAAAGCAAATATGAGATAGGTATTTCTGTTACTCATGCCAACCAGTTTCCTGTTCTTTTCCATTTGAAGACTTGGGTAGAACACAAACACAAGAGACTTGGTTACTGAGAACACTTCCTTGCATTGTGCATAAATGTGCAATTAAACCCAAGAACACAGCTATATTTGTAACAGCAGAATTTTCACAACACAGATGATGTGCTGAGCATACTTGAGTAACTTCGGCATTAGTTTCCACATACACATAAAGCTGCCAGCACGCACCTTTGACCAAAGTGTGTTTGTCAGTGGGAGATGAGCGAGCAAGCACCCGAAGCTTTGGCCAGATTTTGTCGATCCTTTCTTGCTCAATCTGGAGGGGGAGACACAAAAAAAAACCCAGAACAGTAGAACTGTTAGCCTGTGATTAGCAACATGCAAACTACATTTATGTCTGTGTGGCAGCTGATCTGCTTCACTGCCCTGGTCTGCAAGCTTACTCCAAAAGCACAGAAAAATTACAATAGCCATCAAAACTGCAAATGAAGACAAGGTGAAAACAGGCAGTTTACTACTGTCGAAGCTCAGATGTTGGCTAACGTTGGTATATTTGCCACGGTACCTAATTAGCTTTTCTTATCATCTTTATGGATTAATTCCACTCTGTATCATGACTCTAGATAGAGGATGTTGACAAGTAGAAGAGTGTTATTCTATTCTAACTTTGAAGCCAAATCCTTCACTCCATTTTGACACCAATAGTGGCAGAATTTTCTCTGTATACCAGTATAACAAGTACAAACCTGTTGCTTATACTAACATTCCCGGGATTCCATCAACCAATGCAAGGAATAAATGACTATGTCCATTCATTGGTGACAGACTCAAAGGGACAACACAGCATTTGCTTTTTTAAAGCTGACTTCAATCAACTGTGTGTTAGCTTCATCTTTTATGAGGAGTTAAAAATCTTCTGAAGAATAGATAAAGTTATGCAAATGGTTAGAGTGAGTGGATATAGCAGTACACTAGATAAACTGCTATAAAGAAATGGGAGGAGCTGGTTCTCAGTACACTAAAATTCTATGAGAGAGATCTGCAAACTGCTGTTGAGTTCCTTCTCGTTGCTAACAAACCTGCTTGAAGGTGCTTAGTTTGATTTCTTGTAGACTGGTGCTGTGGTTCTAAACAGCACTGAATTAGGCTGGCACTAAGCCCAGAGTGGCTCTGCATGAGGAGAAGGTGGCCACATTTTCAGTGGTATTCTGAATTGCAGAGGCTAGCAGCAGAAAGAAGTAGCAACCTCTCCAAGTAGTCTTTACTGATATGAGGTATACTGTATACGAGGTATTCAGTATATGAATTACCTCTCCTTTCTCATTTCGGATCCTTCTGTTGAACTCTTTCCCTTCAAGGCAGAGAAAGTCTTCTCCTGGATGAATGATTCCACATTTTATGGCAATGGCACGTGCTGTGTTGATGTTGTCTCCAGTGACCATGCGGACTGTAATTCCAGCTCGCTGGCACTTTCTTATGGCTTCTGGGACCTACAAAAGCAATTTAACAGGAGAGAAAGTTCCTAGGTAAGAGATAAAGTTTAAGTAATTCTGTTTTAAATCAGAATATTTTAAGGCTAGGAAATTCATGAAGAAAAAAGTGAAATCATATGGTTTATGGCATATTATAGCTATCTGACTATTACAGAATTGAAGTTATGCCTCAGGCAAGACATGTCTTGTACTGAGGAGCACGCAGACCCTTTTTAAGACAAGCTGCCTAAAGCTTCTCCTGACTTTACTAAAAAGGAGTGCTCTACAGCTTTTCTGACCTTTAGCATCAGGCAGAGCATGCTGTACACCTCAAGAACGGCCTAGACAGATACCTTCAGCATACCACCACTTCTCTAAATTTCATTTGTACCTAGAAGAGCCTAAGGGCATCCCAGGACTCCTAATGAAGGCAGAAACCCTTCCCAGAACTAGTGAAACTGAACTTCCTTACTACAACAGATAGCAAGGAACAGACATAAAGCATTTCTAGGTTGCACTGGTTCTTACATGTGGGGCAGTAGAGAGGTATGAGAAGCAGACAAATGACACTCAAGAGAGGAAAAAGATTCCCTAAAGATGAGCATGACTTAGATAAGCATTTGAACATTAGGCAGTGATCCTAAGTAAACCTCCAGGAAATCTGAAGGTTATCCCTCAAATTAAAACAGCTCCAAAGACCTGGCCCTAGATGCTTGCTCTGCAGTGTTGCCTAACACTCTTAATCTGTGTAATTCATACATAAATCATACTTGCATAAATTCCCCAAATACACAGCTGACCACTGACTGCAAATTGCTGCGGTATGACAGCTGAGCTCCTTCAGTAGACAGTTATGTAAAGTAACAGGATTGTCTGACTGTGATGAGTTATGTCAGCAGTCATGTATATAGAGAGCTGTTGATTTCCTACATAAACTAATAAGCAAAGGATATGATTATGAAAGTGATTTTATCATGCTTATTGAAAACTAAGAAATAAAACCAGCACCCCCCCCAAAAAAAAGAAACCAAAAAACCCCAAAAAAAACCCAAACCAAAAACCCCACAAAAAAAAACAACAAAAAGCCCCAAAATAACAAAGAATTAAAGAAAGGGTTATCAAAATGATATTACTGGCTACAATAGCAAAGCCTCGTTATATTCTACCAGTTCAGTGCAGTTTGCCGATCATAACCTCTATCATAGATATAAGTGTATTGTAGAACTCAGTGCCAATTAGAAGGGATTAATCTCGCCCATTAGTACAGAAAACATTAAGAAAAACGGCCACCATCTACAAGATTACCCTGTTACTTCTGTGCATCTCTAGATATTTTAATTTCCTCTATAGCTGCAATATGTGACACTGCCGAGGGCAGGGCATTGCCTTTTGCATGACAGCCACTGCTCTGATCCAGTGTGGCAAATGCTGGCCTTCTAATGATTCCATGGGGCCAGAGAGGCTATGTATCTCAGGCTGCACGTCAGACTGAAATTACACACCCTTAAACCATATTGTAGATAATGATTACTCTAATCAGTGAATACAATTTCACACCATGTTTCTGCATCTTTAATAAAGGCAGCTGCAAAGCTTCCATTTCCCCTCACTGAGCTAAGACCTAACTGAGGATCGGACTAGTACTTGCCCCATGACTACAAAGGAAATCCCTCCACCCTGAGGCTGCATCCATACAATGTGCTGTTTGGAGAATGACTCTGTCAATTCTGGTGACAGACCCAAAATGAAGAAATAAGGGACAGAGATTTATCTTCCCATTCTCCTATCTCTACTAACAGAATATTATTCCCACAAGTTGGATCCTAGAAACATTATTTGGACTTAAAGCCTTTTAGCATTATGAGCTAGACTTCTGCAGGGGTATACAGTCTATGGGGGCATTAAATCTATTGCTTAAGCAAATGACTCCTGATCTAGCCAGTTGCCACAGTAATAACCCTATCTATATCCCATTTGCCAATTTGGAATGCCCTTAGTAGCCACTTTAACTGTGGTGACTGTCATGCATAGGATAGGACAGATTTAGATGACTTTCTGTAAAACCAGCACAGTGGATGAACCATGAAGGAGAAAATAAATTACAGTGCAAACAGAAAAAGGTTTAGTCAGAAAAAGTGCCAGTCCTATTACACAAGGTCACGGGAGGACAACCTAGTTTCCAAACCATCTCAAAATCAAATAGAACTAGAGATATAATTCTATTTTCCTCTTCTCTCATTTTTTGGACAGCTGGTGGGTGGTAACTGATTTAATACTGTGTACAGTAATTACAGTGAAAATATTGTTCCTATTTTTTTATTGCTGTAAGGAAGAAAGAGTGTTGGCAGACTGAGTGGGCAGGGGAAGCACATATTTTCCATTAGTTCTGCAGAGCTTCAGTACACATTTTAAAATCCTCTGGTCTGCAAAGAAAAACCTCCTGGTGCATGCACACATGCATAAATTTCCCAGTGCAGGAATATCTATCAGAATCAGGTGGCAAATAAATAGGTGGCATTTGGAAGTGGTTTATGTTCATCTCCCAGAAATAACAGCTTGTAGGCGTACATTGGCAAATCAGTGTAAGTCAGTTCAGACTCATTAAAATCAATCCAGAAAGACTGTCAAAATCAACAGAGAATCTCTACAGGAACAAGACATCATTCCATTTGTTCTCATATATTTATCAAAGAAAAAAACACATACGCACACAAAGATAAATATTAAGCAGGTAGTTCAGCGCTGCTGACACGGAATTAAGCCAGTGTCTGAATTAACCAAGGAATTATGCAGAAGTCATGGGTGCCCAGTGGTTACACTCCTGATAAAGCTGTTCAGTTGCTGGATATCACTGTTCAATAATTAATCCAGATAGTTCCTTTTCTTGTACAGAAGGAAATGCAAGTGCAAGAAAGCTCCCAGCATTATCCTCAGAACAGATGGCATAACTCTGAACTCATGCAAGCATGGCACCACTGACACTGCAGGGATTCCAAGGATGCACACCAGCACTGTGCCACAGGAGCTTAGTGGAAACAAGTAGGCTTCCATTTTGCATGTGTTAACTAAGTCATCTTAGGGAAAAGGAGAAAAGCAAGCCTTTCCCAAGAAAGATGTGAATGTAATTTAAGGGAAACTAAAGGTGACCAGGATGGTGACACTGGATTGTTTCATTGGATATACCTAATCTAACATTTGTGTCAGAACAAATGCTGATACCCATGGGAATAATAAAGCAGCAGCTGCAGTAATAGTTCTATTTTCTTATATTCTTCTTCCTTACAGAAGGCATTTGGAATGTGGTGTCTAGTGGTGACTCTATTTAATAAGTGGGCTTAATTCTGGCAAAATACTAAGATCCCTTATAACAAACAGCTCGACATCTTACTATTTGCCTTTACAATGAGGATTTCACCACTGTAGTATATGTATAGTATGATGTTCCCACTAAGTCAGGTATTCCAGACCTAGACAGTTTGTCTGAACGTTACTAGGGTTTTGCTGGCTTGGGTTGTTTTTTTTGTTCCTTCCTTTCTCCTAAGGCACTGCTACTACTTTCTATCCATGTATGGTGTAATAAGAAATTAAACATTGTTTTAAAAGTTCTCATGACATTATTACCACTTTAAAACAGCAAAGAGGGAATAGGAGGGGGAAAAAGAAGAAAAGGCAAACCCCAAAGCCCCCCAAACCAATTGTCCAACATTTGGTAAAATTTTGAAATAATAAACATTTTACCATGTGTCTTGCAACAAAGTAAGAAGCATATTCTGGTGCTGAACTACAAGAAATTCAATACATTATTCACATAATTATCTAGAAATAAAGTGCTTCCCTGCCTTCACCTTCTTTGATCCTTTACACGGAAGTCAGAATTGACCTCTTTATTTTTAGCAATGTTACTCATTTTTACCTCAAGCTCCTTAGCAATTATTCCCTATGAGAGGAGAGCGGTTCTCTTCTAAAACATCCTCATCATAATCTCATGACTGGATAGTTTGCAGCTATTTTCAATAATGAGTGCAAATCCCTCATTATTTGGATAATATGCTACCCATCCCCTCCGTCTGTCACACACACACAACCTGACCTACAGCTATTTTCTCACATGGACCATGAACCAGTTTGGAGGGAAAGAGGATTGAGTCACAGCTCCAGTGGTCACTGGCACTTAGAAACTTTCTGGGTGAAATGTAGGTGAGCTAGAGCATTAAGGGATTGCTGCAGGCAGAGCATTTTAAGGCTTTTAAACAGTTTTAGGTGTTCAGTGTCAGGTGTAGGGACAGATGGGTTAGCAACAAGAGACCATCTGACAACAGATAAAGTGAATGCTGTGTATATGATGGCTGTAGAGATAAGGAGTTTATTGTAGAGTCTGCACCTAAGCAAGATTAATCTACATTAGAACAGAAAGTAGTTATGCAGTTGGTATCTGTAGTTGTAATGTTAGTTTCCAACGTTACAACAGTCAGAAGAGTGTACTTCATAAAAGACTTGGGGAAATAAATCTGAGCTTCTCCAGGCAACCTGTGCTAGTGTCTCACTACCCTCACAGTGAAGAATTGCTTCCTAATGTCTAATCTAAATCTCCCTCTGTGAGTTTAAAGCCATTCCCACTTGTCCTGTCACTACAGGCCCATGTCAAAAGCCGCTCTCCGGATTCCGTGACAGCCCCAAAATCTTGTAAGTACAGTAGCAGGCACATGCTTCCAATATGCACAGCCAGTGCTGACCGTCTCAGTTAAGTGGAAATTTTAGTCGTATTTGTACAAGCCATTGAAGTATAGTAGCCATGAAATCTGCAGCCTTTCCATAGCAAATTCCTTAGTGCAAATACGCTAAAACCAGTTTTCCTGAGTAGCCACCAGTTACAACCTTAAGACAATTAGTAAAGTGGCAACTGTTACATAGACTCCTAGCCTGCCTGCAACTTCTGTGGCAAGCGAGCCCACTGCAGTTAAAATCACAGGATCACAGAAACATGGCAATTCTAATCACTGCACGTCTTTACTGTCAGAGTTGCACATCACTGCATTACTTAAAGGAAAATTCTTTAAAACTTCTGCTGAATACTACACCTGGAGAGAAGGTTCAGTCATCTCAATGCTGTCATTCAGAACGCCCTATTCTGCTTTATTTAAACAATGGTTGATTAATAGTTGATTTTTATCAGGTTAATTATTCGACTTATTATCAAGAAAAGTCTGTTTCTAAAGTTCACTCCTGCCTGCTTTGACAGAGCTAATTAAAATTGAAAAAAAATAAAACCTGCAAGAAACCTGTAGTTTCTTGGTTAATGTTCAACTCTCTGAGAAATGCTTTAGAACATAAGAATCAATATACCTCTGGCCTTACTGGGTCTTCAATGCCAACAACACAAATGCAGGTCAGGTCAGACAATATGTCATTTTCATTGTCCCAGTCAGGCTCTGGGCTGCTGCTGAAGTCTCGGAAGGCAACACAGATGGTTCTCAGCCCATCGCAGGCCATGGGTTCTATCACTTTCTTCACCATTTCATCTCGGTCACGGGGTCTGAAGATCCGAGGTTCACCAGCTGCATTAAGGATCCTGGAACATCTGTTTGATTTGAGAAAATACATAAGTCGACTGTATATATGCATGACTGCTGACAGGTATTCCCTTGTGTGAGCATATTTTATTCCACAGTTTCCTTTTTGATGGCAAGATTTGAATTTCTAGTCTAAATATCTACATTAAACAAGAAGATTCACTACTGAACTGCCAGAGAGATTTTGTTTGCGACTTATTACAAAGACACTAAGAGCCCTGCAGCCATTATTTCCTCAATAACCATGTAATTAATGAGCTGACAACTTACAATGAAATTGAAAACTCCTTATTTTCCAAAGGGCTTGAGCATAAACCATACTGAATGGTCTGACCTAAATGCAGACCCAAATCTTTGGCTAGCCAGTGGTAAGAAAAACAAGCCAAAGAGTCTTGCAAGAGTGAGCACTTAAAAAATATATATTTAGAAAATAACAGTAACAGGTTATACTCCTACAGTGTGTCATATTTCTGCTGTAAGTAGCAAGTTCCCAGGACCAAAATTCTCCCATTGTCTTAATAGTGTCAGAACACTTTGCCTTTTGGAAAAACACAGCAACTAATCCACTGGAACTTACTTCTTCAGCACGATTTCAGAGGCTCCTTTGCTGTACATTCGGAAACTGCCATCTGGCATTTTAATGACAGTACTCATTGACTTTCTCACAGAGTTGAAGGTGTAAACTTTATAGAGCTTCTCCTCGGGGATGAGGTTTCGAACAGGCTCATAATCCTGCTTTAAATCCAGGACAAATCCCAAGAGCCCACACTCCGTCTTATTGCCGACCTGGCGAGGCAGGCCACCCTCTTTCTCTGGTGGCTGAAGAGAAGGAAAAACCAGATATTAATTTCTCTACTGATGAGCAGTATACCACAGCTTCTGAACAATGAATGCAGAGTTGAAATGGACTGTTTAAGATCTGAAACTCGCTGCCACTAGTCTTCCAAGTTTTAAAAACCAGCAAAAAATCTCACAGAGCTATAACCAACTTAAAGCAGCTATTCTCACAATGAGGAACATTTCCCTAGCCAAATAGCTACATTTGGTATCTTGCATTTCTTCACTTTCAAATGAACCATTGGCAGTTGAATATCTTGTGATGGTAAAAAATTAAGCTCAAAAAGAATTCATTCTCATTTGTCAAAACCAGGGGATTTAATTTTCTCACCTGCTTAGAATTACATTGTTTTGCTGACTTTCATGGTTGTCTGCTGGTAACTCAGAACCACGCAGCCACTCACTCACTCCCCCTTCCCTTCCTCCCCCCACTACCAGAGGGATGGGGAGGAGAATGGAAGGAATGTAACTTCCACAGGTTGAGATAAGAACAGTCCAGTAACTAAGGTATAACACAAATCACTACTGCTACCACCAATAATAATGATAAAGGAAATAACAAGGGAAGAGAATACAACCGCTCACCACCCTCCGACCGATACCCAGCCTGACCGAACAGTGATCTAGCCCTTCCGGGTAACTCCTCCCAGTTTATATAGTGGGCATGACGTGCTGTGGTATGGAATACCCCTTTGGCTAGTTGGGTCAGGGGTCCTGCCTCCACTTCCTCCCAGCTTCCCCTCCTCCCTGGCAGAGCATGAGACTCAGAAAGTCCTTGATCGGAGTAACCATTACTGGGCAATTACTAAAAACACCGGTGTTATCGGTGCTGTTCCCAGGCTGAAAGTCAAAAATACAGCACTGCACCAGCAACTAAGATGGAGAAAAATGACTGCTACTGCTGTACCCAGGGCAACGGTTAAAGAAAGATCTGTCCTTTTCTTCCTACCAGGCATTATTTTATGTAAAAATAAATCTATGTCTAATCATAGCAGCAAATTTCAGTGAAAAAGGTATTTCCAACAATCTATAATAGTTCTGCAACTAAAAGTTGCTGTTTCTGTAATTACCGTATTTTAGTCTGCTGCTTCAGACAATAAAGGCTTTATATGTTATGAAAAAATGGAGCAGACTAGTCTAGAATTAAAGAAGTGTTGCTTAAGCCAGGGCTAAACTATACTTAGGGGAACCAAAAGGAGAAGCGCTTTCAAAACTTTCATTTGCATGGAAAATAGATTTGACTCAGGACAAGACTGTAAGTCATCATTTTTAATGAGACTTCAACTACTGACTCAAATGTTGCAGAATTAGGACTGCAGGACAATATTCATAATCCACGTTTAATTCCACTAAAGACTTCAAAATTCAGCCTACTTCAGATATAGGATTCCTAAAGCAATGGAATTCGCTACACTGCCCCTCAGTGTGATGAGGGGGTCACGTAGGGATTGATTAAAGTTGCATACCAGTAATCCTACTTAGATTTGAATTCTTGAAAAAATACAGCCCCAAAAAGGGAAAAGGGGACCTTTAAATAAGTATTAATAAGTATGTATACATTGCAGATACCCACCAATTGCAGCTGGGGTAGAAAATGAAAGTCAGATAGATAATAATAGACTGGTATAGAACTGTGGCAAGAAAATAAACACAGATTTTTCCATAAGAATCATCTTTCCATCACCAGGAAAATATATACCTGATGACAGACAGAGCCATGTAGTTTCTTTTTCAGAGAGAGGCATCTACGGTGAAGAACAGGTAATAAATTTGGTAGTAATAATAGGTAATTTGATAGGCTGAGAAAGTTGGGGCTGTTCTTCCTGGGGAAGAGAAGGCTGCTTGGAGACCTCATAGCAGCTTTCCAGTATCTGAAGGGGGCCTATAGGGATGCTGGGGAGGGACTCTTCATTAGGGACTGGAGTGACAGGACAAGGGGTAATGGGTTAAAACTGAAACAAGGGAAGTTTAGATTGGATATAAGGAGGAAGCTCTTTACTGTAAGGGTGGTGAGGCACTGGAATGGGTTGCCCAGGGAGGTTGTGAATGCTCCATCGCTGGCAGTGTTCAAGGCCAGGTTGGGCAGAGCCTTGGGTGGAATGGTTTAGTGTGAGGTGTCCCTGCCCATGGCAGGGGGGTTGGAACTTGATGATCTTAAGGTCCTTTCCAACCCTAACTATTCTATGAGTCTACCTAAAAATCTCTGTCTCAAAGAGATTTATCCTTCCAAAAGGAGTTGTAACATCTTACCTCTATATAAGCCATTATTTTTACTGAGTTATATGGGTTGCATTTGTGTTGCTGTGACATTTTAGCCTTACTCCAGGGGCAATGTAAAATTCTGATACTCGGCGAAGATGCTAGCATATTAATTTTATTATATGCTATAACAATTTGCCCTGCTAGAATCCAATTATACTGTGATGTAACCTCTCCCTGGATTCTCAAATTCACTCAAGAACCCCTAATGTAAGATGCAAGTGCTCATAGTTATGTGTATTTGGAAGGATTGTTACATTCAGATATGAAAATCTCAGGAGTCAAAAAGACAGCCTTTAAAATACAGTTTTGTTTAAAAACATTTTCATGACATCGCAGGTGCACATCTCCTGAAACATGCTAAGAACTTCAGCTTTCTTAATGCAATAGAGTAGTCATCCTCTCTGCCTGGGTAGGGATGCCAGGAAAGGCCAGTTTCTCCATGTATATCCTGTCAAACTCTTTCCATTTCAGATTTAAATCCTCAGCTAAGCTTTGGTTCTCTCTGCCACCAAAGTCAATAAACCTTGACATTGACTTAAATGTGAATGTGACCAAGCAACTAGCAAACATACACTGGCAGCCAATAAAAGACATCAGTTTCTTTCCACGAAAGGACATACAATCCTAGACAATAGTTAATTTATACATAAGATTTCCTCATGCCCTGATATGAATGGACATTGAGAAAAAAAATCTACCCACATTTCACAATATAAAAACTAAATATTAGAGTCCTTCTAGAATGATTTTCATTTAGCGAAAACTAGATCACATTCTCCTCTTCTTACCATGCTCTAAAAACAGATTTCTTTTACAGAACATCTTTTGAATGCAAATACGTAAGCAAGGAGAAAAAATACCAGTGACAAGAAAATGAACAGACATTTCAGAAAGGTTTCAAACCCTGACAAGTGGCCACCTCCCTCTAGAGCAGCTGCTGTCTCCATATTCTTTGTACGTTACATTATAATAAAGCATATGGTGGTGAGAGCTGGCAAGCAGCACTTCCTTTCCTGTACTGCTTCAGCTCAAAATCTATATGCCAAAAGCAGTCTTCTTGCAGATTGTTCCTGACAATCCTTTGCAGAAGCTGCTGGCTTTTAAACCTTCCTACCGTGCTGTATCTAAATTTATTTCTTGCTGAAATCTGCAGGTTTTGGCACCTGGAAAACAACTGAAAGGACAGCCCAAAGGGGTTACTTTTAAATAATTAACTAGGAACAACTTCATTGACTCTTCAGAGAATGGAAATCCTTTGATAACGTGTGAGAGAACTGTGATTTGTAAATGGGAACTTCACCTTTTTGAATGCTGTTTCTCAAGAGCTCAATGGTAGAGCTTTTGCTAGGCGCAAGGCAGCCACATACTGTGCAAGCTTCTACTAGGAAGAAACTGATCCAGTATCTTCCCCAGCAACAACCTTCCACTGATCCTTGTAACACATTTGCAAATGTTTTTTCCAAGTCTTTATATTATTTAGGTAATAATAGTATTTGAAGTGTAAGTGAATACTTGCATGTAAAACAAACTGCAGGCAGAGGTACAACTACCAAATCAAAATAGGTTTCTAGGTCAAAGTACAGCTGTATTATTAAGCCCTAAAAATAATCCAAAAGCTAGTATTGACCTAACAGGGAATCTGGATTACAAAAGGTGTTTTCAGATTTTTTTCACAGGAAAATAGTTAACTAGTAAGATGGGCTAAGAATGAAGAAAGGGAAAACTATGGGCCTAACTTCTAGAGGTGCTTTAACTTTTAAAATCAGATTACTAAATCATAATGCCTCGATTTTTGCCATAACACTTATTAAACCTCATTTTTCTCATTGCCCCTTTTGATGTGAAACGGGAGGACCTAGCAAGAAGATCCAAGCAGTCTTTCCACATTAAAATCTTAGGTTTTCATGCATTCTCTGAAGTAATTTGTTTTATGTTGTTCTCCTGTGTTCCACACATTGAACCACTCCTTTAGAATAATAAAGACTGGAAATACAGCAATTTTATCAAGATAAAACCCCAAACGTTTCTAGGCTATGATATCCATATCAAATGTTTCATTTCAACTCCATTTGCAACAGGCAAACAGAGGAAAATACATTTTTAAACTGCAAAAAAAAAAATCTACTCTGGAATTTATTTATTCAGCAAAGAGAAAACAGACCAGGCTGTGCGGGGTTTTTCTCTGTATGTTTAAACATTGTATGTGTAAAACCAAGAAGGATCAATGCTGCCTGAACCATGGACTACTTTTATTATTTAATTCCTAATACTGTAAAAAGGAGAACTACTAAAAAACTAGAGTGCTATCAAATTCAGAGATGCTCCCTCATTACATATTTTGAATCAGTGGTTTAATGGAAGAAATCTAAAGGAAGATCAAACCACACAAAATTGATAATCAATCGTTAGGGTTGGAAAGGACCTTAAGATCATCCAGTTCCACCCCCCCTGCCGTGGGCAGGGACACCTTACGCTAAATCATATCACCCAATCTTAAGTATCAGCTTTTTGTAGATACAGATGTATTCAACTGACCTCAAGCTAAGCCAAGACAGACTTAGAAATGACTGTTTATCTTAGAGAAAAACTTCAACATGGAAGGAGTGTGCTTTTTCTAGCCAAGGATTAAGAAACAAAACCTGCTTGACTAAATAAGTTTTCAATTACAAAATGGGAAACAATTTCAGAAGATGTGTTGAAATAAGAGAGCAGTAATAGTAGACATCAGCTCTTCTAGTTTTCATTACAATTTCTCATAGGGAGATCCTGTTAACTACAGAAGTTCAACAGCAGCACTGGTTTTCTGTCTTTCATAGGAAGACCATCTCCACAGATCCTTCACCCCAGCTATAATCTGGATACTGGGTACCAAACACCATGAACAAATTTGCTTTATCTTCTCCTTGCTATTTGTTCTAAGAGTATTTATTGTTTTCTCATGGTATTACCTCTTCAGAACTACATGGGAATGCACATCCCTGTATAAGAATGCAACAGAAAATTGGTTAAAGCTTCCCTGGAAATCGGCTGGGTTTGATATGCACAGATTCTCTTACAGAAATTTGTTTTACATTTCCACTTACAGCTTAGAAATGTTGCTTAATAATCCTGTCTGGCTTTTCCTAAACAACACTGTGGAGCTTGCCTTTGGTTCTACTGAATTTCTGTCCACACTGTACTTTCAACACTATCTCAGCACACAGCACATTGCTGTCTTTCTGGGCAGATCCCAACTGCTGTACTAATTATACACAACTAGGATAATACCAATTAACCAAATTAGAATGCTTAAATCTTTTTGTAGATGAAAACAAGGAAAACCAAACCAGCATCCTAACAATAATAACCAGCATCACCTCTATACTGTTAAAATGTCAGGAATTTACTTTCATAAGGCCTGTATACGTTAGGAATAAAATTAGTGCTCATATCGTGTGCAGATTTGGATCTTTGCTGCCCTTGAGGACACACCTAGAATAATATTATTGCCTTGACTCATGAGGAAGATCCCAAATTGTCCTCAGACTTTTTTGAATTTTAAGTAATTTTGTTCATCTTAAGAATTAAAAAAGTTGTTTTCTGTTTTATATAGAGCACAAAAAGCAACATGCTTTCTAACAATATACATGCTATTTTACAACCCAGAATCATCACTGCAAGGTACAATGCTGTTGAAATTCAGTTAAATTAAAATCAAAAGTCAGTTTTAATTGAGGTCAGCATAAGGGATTGAAAAAGAACAACAAAGAACTTGGAACTGGTTGTGTAATACAGAATCAACCACCTCCCTGGGCAGCCTGTTCTGATGCTTGACAACCCTTTTTCAGGGAAGAAACTGTTCCCAGCATCCACCCTACACCTCTCCTGGTGCAACTTGTCCCATCACTTGTTACTCGGGAGAAGAGATTGACCCCACCTCACTACCACCTCCTTTCAGGTAGTTGTAGAGAGCACCTGAGCATCCTTTTCTCTAGGCTGAGCAACCCTGGTTCCCTCAAGCCACTCCGCATCACACTTGTGTCCAGACCCTTCACTAGCTCTGTTGCCATTCTCTGGCCCTGCTCCAGCACCTCAATGTCTCCCTTGTAGTGAGGGGCCCAGAACTGACACAGGATTCGAGGTGCAGCCTCACCAGTGCCCACTGCAGGGGAACAATCACTGCCCTGGTCCTGCTGCCACACTGGTGATACAGGCCAGGATGCTGCTGGCCTTCTTGGCTGCCTGGGCACAAGCCCATGTTCAGCTCTGTCAATCAATACCGCCAGGTCCTTTTCCACCAAGCAGCTTTCCAGCCACTCTTTCCCTCTCCAGGTTTCCTGCAGCCCCTTCAGCCACTGGAGCTGCTCTCAGGTCTCCCCTTCAGGAGCCTTCTCTTCTCCAGGCTGCCCCAGCCCAGCTCTCTCAGCCTGGCTCCAGAGCAGAGCTGCTCCAGCCCTCGCAGCAGCTCCGTGGCCTCAGCTGCACTCCTCAGTTCTCCTGTCTCAGCAAGAAACGAGTAGTAATAGTGAAGCAGTTTAAAAGACTTCCTTCTACTGACCAGACATGTGCTGCACACCCCAGCCAACATGGAGCAGGCTCCTCAGATGAGGAACAGCAGTGTCACAGGCACCCACCTTGTTATTTGACAACCATTTACTTATCAGATCTGCTCAAACTTTCTAGGAAATTGGAAACGTTTGACTTATTACTGTATAGGGTGTGAGAAACAATGTATTTGTACAGTAGCCAGAACAATGGAACCAGTTAGGTAAAACTGGCATAATTAGATCTACCACAACAGCTGGAGGATACTCAAATTCAGGCTTCCTGTATCAGATCAGTACTCATGCAGGATAGTTACTTGATTCTCTTCTAGGTTCGGCTGTAAGAGTTACTTTTCTTCTTAGTCACTGGTGCAGTACTGTGTTTTTGGCTTCAG